AGACAATGGGGGACCCCACAAAACTCGCATCTGCCCGTACCGCTCTTATGGAGTATATAGGTGATAGGTAGATGATAGATAAATGATAGATAGATAGATAGATAGATAGATAATAGATATATACATACACAATACACGGATGATAGATAGATATGTATATAAATGATAGATAGAGATATAGATACACAGAGACATACATACATACAATGTATGATGATAGATAGCTGATAGATAGATAGATAGGAGAGCTGCATTTTGTTCACAATTCCTACTTCGTGCTCTTCCAGTGTGCCAGTACACATGATTTTAATAGTCATTCTGGTTGTGTCACACACATGCATGTTATTTTTCTAGACAACCACTTTCCACTAAGAGGACCCACTTTTATTCCACTCTAGCACGCTCACTCATGAGTTAAAAGTAATTCGGGGGCTTCTTTTTAAACTTCACCTTCCTGATTGCACACACGATAGTCTTATTTTCTATAAACCTTTCACTCCCTCGAGCCCACACACATTATATAGGCCACTATTACTCTGAACTCAACTTAAGCTTAAATTGCGATCATTGACTTCTAATGTCTCCGAACCATAGAGTCCCACAGAGTGTTTTCATGGTCCTCGAGGTCTTCCCCATCACCCTCCACTGACGGCCTGTTCAGATTCCACTTAGTTCACTTATTTATTCATTTATTCACTCATTCATCATTTGTCGGATTGGGTACCTTCTTCATACCAATCGCCCTGTGGGGTGCCAGAGATATAAACTTGAAAACGGAACGATACACAGTCCCTGCCCTCAAGGCACCTACCATCTACTATTCCATGATACAGTGGATGTTAAAACATTGTGATAACAGGTGATAAGGACAATGTTGGCATTACAGGCAAGGTGCAGTGGGCGCACAGGAGGGAGTGATTGACTATCCTTGGTAATGGGTCAGATCAGCTGCACAGAAGAGAGCATCAAGGAGCTGAAAGGGTCAGTAGGATTTTCCCAGGCAGCTGAACAGGGTGGGGCAGGTGGAGGGGACATGCAGGAAACACCAGAAGCTAGAAGAGGCAAGAAAGGATTCTTCTCCACAAGTTTCAGAGGGAGCATGGCCCTGCCGACACCTTGATTTCAGACTTGTAGTTTGTGGTACTTGGTTAAAGCATCCCTGAGAAATGGATACAGGCACCCAGGTGGAGCTGTCCAGTTGAAAGGTATGGATGAGGTCAGACCAGTCTTCTTCCAAAAGCCCAAGGAGATACACCTGAAACTAATACAACATTGGACATCGACTATACTTCAATAAAAATAATTTAGCTATTAAAAAAAAAAGCCCAAGAAGAGATAACTAAGGACACAGAGCACACTGGGGCATATGCTGGAAGAGATTTATTCTGCCCAGGGTGGAGAGGAGAAAAGGGGATTGAACAGGGAAGTTTCACGATGAAGATGACATTTGAAGAGGGCTTTGAAGAATCTTTTTGTCTCTTAGCTGATGATAAACTCCTGGGAGCCCAGTCTACAAATCTATTCAAGTATTTGACAAATATTTATTCAGCACTTTGTGTTGAGCTCTGTGCTAGGCTCTGAGAATAGAATGGTGAGCAAAACAGGCACAGCCCCTGCTCACGCAACGGATAATCTGACGGAGAGACAGACTAATTTCTGTGAATACAAATAACCACCAGAAAAATACGTAATCATCACTCTGATAAATGATATGAAAGGCAATTACCAAGTGTTAAGAGAACATATTGCAAGGAAGTTGTTCAAGCCTGAAGGCTGTGAAAGCGTTTTTGAGGAAGTGAAGGGGGGGAAGGGTGGCTCGTACAGATTTGAGGATCTGAAAGACAGCCAGTCTCACTGCAGGACAGAAACAGAGGGACAGCTGATGCTGGGAACAGGCAGCAGCCATGGCTCAAAGGACCTTGAAGGGTTTAGTCTTCATCCTACACGTGACGGATGGAAGGGAAATGCAGTCAGTGAATTTCAGCAGGGGCGCCAACAGACAAGATCAGATTCGGGGGTTTTGTTGTTGTTGTTTAGATCACCTTGATGAGAATAGTGGGAGAAAGTCAAGAATGGAAGCAAACAGAACCATTAAGAAACTCTTGCACTTGTCCAGCCCAGAGCAGATGGTCTCTTGAACAAGGTGGTGGCAGTGGAGAAGGTGGATTTAAGAAGTGTCTCTCCAGGTTCTCAGTGAAGGGAAAAAAAATAAATGAATGAATGAAACCAATGGTCTTTATCTGAAGCTATTCCATATTCTTCTCTGTCTTCAGGTTTTCAAACACTGTCTCCCTGAAAAGTGACATTGATGTCTCCAGATGAAACGTCTTGACATCTGATAATGACGACTCAGTCTAAGAAGAAGGGGACATTAAATGGCGTTCTGGGAGATGGTGAGACTCTCTCCAGTAGGGGAAAGGGAAGAAGAGAGAACAAGAGGTTGGACCCCTGAAGACTTTCAGAGGCCACGGAAGACCCAAGGCAAGGACCTATCTGAAGAAGGCGGTCCCTACGTTACCTGCCAGCCAGTAAGCTTCTCTCATCTGATACTCCCCAAGGAGCATGATTCACAGGCACCGTGTTCAGAGGAAACATAACGTACAGTTGAGCTCCCCGAAGCACCCTGCAACACAGTGTTAGCACCTAGAAAGCACCAAAGTTTCTACAGTCAGATTTAACTCCTTTGTTGCACTTAAACTCTGGACATCGCGGATGAGAATGGAGTCCAGACTATGGCTTTTGCATGGCAAGAGAGGGTGTGCTTCTTCCCAGGGGTGTGGCACACACCTGAAGTTCTCCAGAGCATCGGCTTCCCCGCGCCTCAAGAAGGCAAAGCAGTAGTCCTGAATGACGAGAGACTTGGCCAGCTTCTGCAACTTGGGATGTGTTGGGTTCAAATGGTTCACTCAGTTGGGTACCTAAGACGCTGCACTAGGTGGCCCTGGTATTCCCTTTCCTCCTCCATCGTGACAGGGAAGGATGGAGATTGGAGGAATGAAAGGCAGCCAGCCGTCTTTGAACACCCAAAGTGTCTCACAGCTGATAGAATCTGAAGAATATGGGGGAATTGCTTCAAATCTTACCCTCTTACTATTGTTCAATAGATGCTGGAATGGAATCTGGATTTAATTTAAAATGAATACTATGTTTTCATCCTAATTAACCACACAACAAAAGCTACTTATGAAGTGAACAGGTGACTCAATATTTGTTTAATAGTGACATCATATTCACAGTTTTGCCCAAATTCCAATGACCTTGAGCTCCCCTTGCCAAATGGCAGGACCTGAGTCCTCCTTTAGAATTTTCCCATTCTTCTTGGACAGTCCCAAAGGGGTGTTGGTCTCTTGGCCACAGGAACTGCACAGGGCTGTCCATTGGCTTTTTCTGCAGAAAAAGTCCACAAAGAAGACCCTTAAGGAAACCTCCCTGTCACCACGGCTGACAGTGCTGAGATTGTCAGCAGCCCCACCCCACGCTTATCCACAGAGAAGTGTTACTCATTTATTCCTTTCACTAACTACATCAGAGCCTCAGCCCTCACCCGCCCAGACACACACACACACACACACACACACACACACACAAATGCAAATTATTATATGCGTGGAAAAGGAGCCAAAAGGTCACACACCAAGGACTTTTCATAACGGTGAAGACTCCCGGAGCACGAGTGTCTGGGTGTTTCTCATTTTTGTCTGCTGACATATCCGCTTGCTTTGCTTTCTTGCCGTCATTTTGCCTTGCAATGCTCTTTTTCTTTTGTATTAAGGAACATTTTGTATTTTATTATATAGTGCTTTCATTTTTAAATATCGTCTTAGATATTAACATTTGGCTGGTAACTGGAAGCCCTCCAATTTATTCTGGTCTTCTGTAAGTTGCACTGAACCCTTGAGGAACTGCTCTGAGTGTTATCTGGCTTAGTGTTTCAACCTAACACGGAAGCTGGTGAGAGCTGGCATCTGTGGGCCCTCCCTGCGTGCCAGGCGCCGTGCCAAAGGCGCTTTCCACGCACTGGGCCATGCCGCCCTCCCCGGAACCCTGGCGGGAACTGTAACCCCCAGCACAGCGATGGGGAAACAGCGCCTGGGTGGAGTGGATGTCATCTACAAGGCAGCACGGTCGATGCCAGATGCCTTGTGCAGAGACCCAAGCTGTACTGGAGCCACGAGTCCTGCTGGATGCCCTTCCGAGGGCATCTGTTAGGGCACTAGAGTGGGGTCTTCCTCAGGCACTGGCTGGCTGCTCTCTCAGGGGAACATCTCTCCTCTTACCCCAAGCTCCTGCATCGCAGAAGAAACTGAGAAGGGCTGGGCCCCTCTGTGGAAACTTGCCCACTCCCCATCCACAGGCAGAAAGTCAGCAAAACTCAGCCAGCCCACGTTCAGAGCCGCCGTGGTCCTGCCAAGCCTGCCCCACCCAACCTCCTGTAAGAGCTCCAGTCGACAGGCCCAGAAAAGCAAATGGGCCTTCTTGGGATAGAGAAAGGAAAAAACCGCGCAGCTGCCACCTAATTGGCATTCTAAACGGCTAGAAGCTTCCAAGCGCAGAAACGAATTAAATAAGCTTTTTTTCCCCTTTCAGGGTGGAGTACAGCCTCCAGGTTTCCACCCAAGTCACACCCTAGCAGCTGCTATTTATAATATCTAAATGCCAGATGGAACCTGCCGGGGTGAAACAGAAAACAGAGAGCTGGACAACAAAGGCCCTTCAAGCCCGGTTGGGCCCGGGAGCAGATGCCAACCCCGAGGGAGCACCTGGGGACTGGGCAGGGCCCTGAGGAGGGCTGACCCTCCTGCCCAAGTGGAGCTCCCCCAGCCAGCAGAGAGCACGCTGTTGGATGCTTCTCCTGCATCCCACAGCCCGTGGCACACGGCTGGGTGCTGGGCAGGGACTGGGGCTCTACCTGTTGGGTCAGGAGCAGCCAGCAGAGGCCAGGAAAGCTCACCCGGGCCAGCAGCCGGCTGTGGAGCAGGCCAGACCCAGCAGCTGGGTGGGGGGGGCCTCGGGTCCAAGCAGAGGCTGGAACAAGGTAGAGCAGGGTGCAAAGGGGGGACATGAGGCAAACCCTGATTTCCTCTCTTAGCCGGTGTGATTTTCTGCCTTATTAACCCCTGGGGGACTCTGCTTCCTTATTTGTGAAACACAGGCAGTAATTACATCAACTGAATGGGATATCTGAGAACACTGAATGGACAGTAAGCGCTTAGGATAGTTCCGTAGCATTGAAACGGCAGCTGTTCCTATTGGATTTTTTGCCCAGATACAAAAATGCCTCTGTGTGACTTACAGGGCAAACGCAGGTCCCTCTCCTCCTGGAGGGCTGACAGCCTTGGAGACGGATCACATCACAGCTTCCCAGTTCCTGCCCCTGATGTGCCAATGCAGACCGGAAGGCTGGCTTGAGCTAAAACAGGCACCTGAATAAAATCCGGTTAGTATCCTGCTGCCCCTGCTGCCCCTGCTGCCCCGGCCCGCTGGTCGGCTAGTGAGTGAAAATTGTTTCTTCCAAAACAAAAAGCCTGTCTCTCATTCTCTGATGAACTCCTCCCTCCTATGTCAGTGTAGCTCCACTCTGCTTTTCTCTAGGAACGTTCCTGACATTCAGAGCAGTCCAAAGTTTCTTTCAGAGTTTCTAGAGCAGTGCTGTCCTATGGAAATATAATGCCGACCACGTAGGTCATTTTAAGTGTTCTACTAGCCCCATGAATGAAAAGAAACAGGTGAAACTAATTTTAATAACAGATTTTATTTAACCCAGTATATCGAAAATAGTATCATTTCAAAATGTAATCAATATAAACATTAGTAAGGAGATGTTTTACAGAATCGGGTGTGTATTTTATGGTACGTCTCAGTTTGCTCTAGTTACGTCTCCAGTGCTTGCTCTGCACACGTGGCCGGTGGTGACTGTATTGCATAGCACATCCTACAGCGTTGGCTTGATCTACTGTTGGTCTACCGCTGGGGGGCCTCCAGCTTGAGACTTTGATGCCGCCTGCTCTGAGGTTCTGACAAGGGTAGGGATGTCGGGAGACAAGCAGTGGTCTGTAGCAGGCCAGTGTGAAGAGTCAGGAGAGACTGCCTTCTCCTAGCCAGTCCCTCGACAGTTTGGGTATTAGTCTTGGGGTGAAGATGGGTCATGGGCACTGTGAATAAAACATAAAAAGCTGGGAACCCCCTGGCAGTCTAGGGGTTAGGACTCGGAGGGCCGGGGGTTCAATCCCTGGTTGGGGAACTAAAATCCTGCAAGCCTCGCGGCGCAGTCCCACCCCCCAAAAAAGCATTTGCTGGGCTTCGCTGGTGGCACAGTGGTTGAGAGTCCGCCTGCCGATGCAGGGGACACAGGTTCGTGCCCCGGCCTGGGAAGATCCCACATGCCGCGGAGCGGCTGGGCCCGTGAGCCATGGCCGCTGAGCCTGCGCGTCCGGAGCCTGTGCTCCACAACGGGAGAGGCCACAGCAGTGAGAGGCCCGCGTACTGCAAAAATAAATAAATAAAAGCATTTGCCCCCAGAAGAGCTATGGAGCTGAGCTTTGAACAGCCCTCACCGCTTCAGAGGAGTTGGGTTCTTCCCCTCCCTCCAAGCTCTTGCAGCTGCAGTGAAGGTTGCAGTCGGGAGGAGGCTGTCACTGTTGAAGAATAAAAGGAACCTCCCAGGGAAGGGGTCCCGTGCGGGAAGGAACAGGAAGAAAAAAGAGTGAAAGGGAAGAATCTTCAGATCACCAGCTGCAAGGACATTGGCAGCCTTTTCACACAGCCTCAGAAAAGCCTCTTTGGTTTCCAAAGAGTCTGCAACATTTTTAGGCTTGTGGCCTCTGAAGCCTCAGTGAGCCTCTGCCTGTTAGAAATAGTTTCCAAGACATCACATGAAAAATATTTTCTTTTGGTGCTCTGAGGACCTGAGCTCACTGAGGTCTCCTCCTACCAGTGAATGCCGAGGAAGGCACTCCCTGACTGGTGAGCTGCTAGCAGCCGCACTCACCCCCATTAAACGACAGGATTACGATGCCTGTCTTGTGCAGAAAATGTGAGAACCTTCTGGAAAACTCTGGAAGGGGCCAAGATGGGACTTTGTGGCTGGTGGCTACCAGTCCTGAAGCCGTGGAGGCGACGCGTGGTTTTGCACGGGTCCCCACCCTGCCGGAGCCACTGGTTCCTGGCACAGCCCTGGCAGCCTCCCAAGCCCTGATTTGGCCTAGCTTTCCGAGGCATTTGCCCTCTCTGTTGACTGCTCTTAGAGCAGCCTGCCAAGCCAGTTACTGAAAGGATTTGGAATCCGAGGAGTAAGAAAAATCACCACCTATGCTCTAGGGGAATTTATGGGAACAGGCTGAACAAAATGACCCCTTCCAGGCAACCTGGCTGTAGTGCAGCCCTGCCCTTCCAGAAGCACCACTTGCCCCCAAAGTGAGCCAGTGGGCAGAGCTGGGCCTCCCCTGATTTTGTCTGGGCTACTCTTCTGTCCCTCCAAAAAAAGACCACACTGGACACCTTGTCCCAGAAGATATAAGGTCCCAGAGAAATTGCTACAGCACACTCTCCTGAAAAATAATTTCCTTTCTTCTTATCACCATAAAATCTCAACGATTAAAATGCTGAGAAAATAAGGTTGTTCTGATAACTGGCGTTTTCTGGTGAACAGGAAACTGGTTTTATTTTAACCAGTGATGCTGAAAATCTCTGTCCCCTGGACCAGGGCCTGGCCTGTTTTTAATCATACAGGACCCTGCCGGGCTCCAGGGCATGGTGCTTCTAGACAGCACGGGCCGTCGATGCAGAACACACTGAGTCAACCCTGATTCCAGGCCTGCCGCTGGCTTCTGGCATTCTGTTTCTGTTTGGTGTTAGCCGGACCCTTTAGATGAACTCATTGTGTTGTAGTTATCTTGCTTTACCCTAAAATCTAAGCGTAACCCTTCAATTTGAGGGCCCAAGTTAACTGGGTTCCACTTGAGAAGTGGCTCTAGTCAGAGCAAAATGTTTTAGGCCCACATCTAGCCCCTGACCACATTTTGACGACGGGATGATGTTAGCATTCACTCGGCGAGGGCATTTCCATTGGGCTCCCCATGAATTTGCCGAAATTCTAGTTACTTCTGTAGTGTGTGATTGCCTGGTTTATTTGTAAGAACTACCCATCGGAGCTGAGCTGTTCTGTTTCTGGAGCCGCTTATACGATCACAGTTATGAAATGTTTATTTTCTTAGATCAGCTTAAGCTGATAAGGCACTTTTGAGCCATTAAGAATCTTGTAAGTCAAGACTGTTTTGATAGATGATTTTTCTGGTGGGGGGTACATCAGATGAATCAAGGCCTCTCCCTTGATTGGGCTATTATCTTAAATGTGTGTGACCGTCACATGCTCCTTTGAGAAATGGTGCTGCCTCCTTAGGAAGATCTGCTGCCAGCTCGCTCTGTTTCCTCTGGCTCACACCCAAGGACCCGCAGAGACGAGGCCACCCTAGAGAGGCAGCGGGTCAGTCAGGAATGTTCCAGGGCCACAGGGCCCGTCTGCAACCACGCTGGGCACAAGAAGCCACAAGAAAATACTCCAAATTAATGAACATGGAAGAGGCTCACGGATTTAAATCCTCAGCACAAGTCTGTTTGAAGACAGGCCTTGCCCTCACAAAACTGACTTTCCTGTGACGGAGACAAATGGAGAGGGAAATAAACACGCAATCTGCTGTTGAGGGCTAAGTAACAAGGACAGAGAAAGCAGGGTAAGGGGAGAGGCGGTAAAGGCGAAGAGCGGGCAGTGGGTACCTGTCAGGCAGGGCGGGCAGGGTGGCCTCTCTGAGGAGTGACCTGAATGGAGAGAAGAAATCCAGTGCTTCCGAAGCAGAGGAGCAGGGGGTGCAGATGCCCTGCGGAGGGAGTGTGCTGGCCGCCGGAAGAGCAGAGAGATGGTGTGTCTGGAGAGCAGCAGGTGAGGAAGAGATAGGAAGGAGGGAGAGAGTGGGGAGGGTGCAGAGCTGGAGAGCCTCTCAGCAGAGCCACAGACTGTCCTGATGTCCATTCTTTCTGCTGCTTTTCAATAATGAAATCGCCCGCCGTCTCGGCGGGGATCGTGGGCCTCTGCTAGCGACCACATCTTCCAGCCTCGAGTGCAATGGAGTGTGGCCACGTCATTGAGTTCTTGCCGTTGGGCCATGAATGGAAATGGGTTCTGCTGCGTCTCGGTTCAGTGCTCACAGAGTGGGTAGTGTTCCTCCCTCTCTTTCATCCCGTCCTACAGGTGGAACCCAGACCTGGTGCTAGGGAACCACCTGGTCCATGTAGACCAGGGGAAGGCCCAGGCAGAGGTTCGGAAAGTGGGGTCCCTGGGCCTGTGACATCAGCATCACCTGGAATCTTGTAGAAATGCAAATTGGGGGAGCGCCCTCCAGACCTACTAAATTAGAAACTTTGGGGGTGGGGTGCAGCAATCTGTGTTTTAACACACCCTCCAGAGGATTCTGATAACCTCGGGTCTCACAACCACTGCAGGCTTTCTCACCATTGGGAATACCAACACCGCGGGCACAAACTTCTTTGTTGTAGGGGTCTGTCTGTGCCCTGTGGGATGTTTAGCAGCAGCTCTGGCCTCTACCCACTAGAACACAGCAGCACACACCCTCCCCCTACTTGTTACCACCCAAAATGTATCCGTACACACTTCCTCTAGTATGTATATCTTCTTTTGGAAGAAGAGATAAGAAACTAATAAAGTGATTACCTTAGGGTGGTAGGACACCGGTGGAGGGGGCTTTGGAGGGCTTCGCTTTTCTTTTGTGTATTTCTGTGGCGCGCTCGAGTTTTTACCATGTGTATTGCTGAAATAAATCTCTAGGCCCAAGATGGGTCCGCTCCTTCCCAGGGTGCCGGGTCAGCAAACCGAAACTTAGATCTAACATCCACACCCCATAAATGCTCCGCTTGACCAGACACGCAGTGTGTCCAGTCAGCCAGTTCCCGAAGGCCAAGCCAGCTCCAGGCCTCCTCACCCGCAACAAGGGTCGCTATGTGGCCCCAGCCAATCAGATGTTTTCTGTTTGTCTCTTGCTCGTTCTTTTGTTTTTTGGGTTTTTTTTTGCGATACGCGGGCCTCTCACTGCTACGGCCTCTCCCGTTGCGGAGCACAGGCTCCGGATGCGCAGGCTCAGCGGCCAGGGCTCACGGGCCCAGCCGCTCTGCAGCATGTGGGATCTTCCCGGATCGGGGTACGAACCCGTGTCCCCTGCATCGGCCAGCGGACTCTCAACCACTGCGCCACCAGGGAAGCCCCTCTTGCTCGTTCTTTATTCTTTATCCTATAAAAGCTTCTTGCCGTCTGCCCCATTTTTTCAGTTCTCTGGAAGCAGATTATCCATTTCATGCAGTGTTAAATAAAGTTTGTATCATCTAACGTGTCTTCTTTAATCTTTTTTCAACAGGATGTAACAACAATGGGGAAGAAATGTTTTAGAAAGACTACTTATTGAAAGAGTGGAAACTAGGTTTCTTTACCACCGTTCTGACACCAACTCCAGCGTGTGTGGGTTTTCCCACACCACCAAGCAATTCTCAGACGCCTGCAGGATGTCCTACAGTTCAACTCAATTCTGAGGCTACCTGGAGAGAGCGTCAGACGCTGCAGGTTAAGGGCTCAGCCCCACCAGACCACCCCCGACCCTCCCGCCACTTCAGATGCCAACTGTCAGTCCAGGTTGTCACCTGTGCTTCTGAGGGGCTGTAGATTGGAGGTTCCCACGACTCCCAACTTGGGTTCAATCAATTTACTAGAGTGGCTCACAGAATTCAGGAAACCAGTTTTCTTACTAGATTACTGATTTATTACTAAAGGATATAACTCAGGAACAGAGCCAGATGGGAGAGATGCATAGGCCAAGGTATGGGGATAGGGTTTGGAGATTCCAGTCCTCTCTGAGCACTCCACTCCCTGAATGCCCATGTGGTCACCAAACCAGAAGTTCTCAGAATCCAAGTCCTTTGGCGTTTTTATGGAGGCTTCATTACATAGGCCTGATTGGTTAAATTATTGGCCATTGGTGATTGATTCAACCTCCAGCCCCTCTCCCCTCCCTGGCAATCAGAGGTTGGGACTGAAAGTTCTAACCCTCTATTCCTGGTTGGTTCCCTTGGCAACCAGCCCCCCTTAGGTGCTTTCCAAAATTCACCTCATAACATAACAAATGACACCTTTATCAGCTTAAGCACAGGAAATTCCAAGGGTTTTAGGAGCTCTGCTCGGAGATCAAATATATATTTCTTATTATAAATCACAAAATCACACTTCCTATAGAGCTTCTCAGCATCCGTAACATGTGCTAACACATTTTTAATCTCCAAGGGGAGCCGAATCCTGGAAATGCTGTGCCTCAAAACACTTCCAGAAGCACCCATCTGGCCAACACTGATGCCTTGAGCTTCCTCAGTGCAGGAAACAGTTGAAGGTGGCCAAGGCTGGGCATTTCACTGGACACAGGCCAGTCCTTCCACTTGGGCGAGACATGCGCTCTGAGATATGACAGTTCTTTCAGCAACTTTGGACTGGCCCCTGGGCAGTTCGTTCTTGAGAGGAGTCCTGCAGGTAGTCTTGGTCTCTCTGGTTTGTACCTCACTTTGTGGATGAACCACCTGCAAGTTCCCCAGGAGCTGGAGGAATGGGGGTTTGGGGGCTCCACCGCCCTCTAGACCCCATTCCCCACATGGCCCACGGCCCCTGGACTGAGCTAGCCATTGGCCCTGCAGGCTCCCTCCCGAATGCTTTGCCTTCTCCCGTCCCCTCCAGGTGTTGAGGCAGATTCTCCTCCTCAATCTGCCCCTTTTCAGGGGATGGGGAGGAGGGAGGTAAGGGAGGATGAAATTTTAAACCCTGGTGATCATTCATTTCTGATCTTTTCCACTATTTATCCCAAAGTTCCTCAGGCACACAGCACACCTAGTGGTCTATTAAAAACAGTGGGAGTTGGCTGTGGGTTTGTCATATATGGCCTTTATTATGTTGAGGAAAGTTCCCTCTATGCCTACTTTCTGCAGGGTTTTTATCATAAATAGATGTCGAATTTTGTAGAAAGCTTTCTCTGCATCTATGGAGATGATCATATGGTTTCTCTCCTTTAATTTGTTAATATGGTGTATCACGTTGTTTCATTTGCATATATTGAAGAATCCTTGCATTCCTGGAATAAACCCCACTTGGTCATGGTGTGTGATCCTTTTAATGCGCTGTTGGATTCTGTTTGCTAGTATTTTGTTGAGGATTTTTGCATCTATATTCATCAGTGTTATTGGCCTGTAGTTTTCTTTCTTTGTGACATCTTTGTCTGGTTTTGATATCAGGGTGATGGTGGCCTCATAGAATGAGTTTGAGAGTGTTCCTCCCTCTGCTATATTTTGGAAGAGTTTGAGAAGGATGGGTGTTAGCTCTTCTCTAAATGTTTGATAGAATTCGCCTGTGAAGCCATCTGGTCCTGGGCTTTTGTTTGTTGGAAGATTTTTAATCACAGTTTCGATTTCAGTGCTTGTGATTGGTCTGTTCATATTTTCTATTTCTTCCTGGTTCAGTCTCAGCAAGTTGTGCATTTCTAAGAAATTGTCCATTTCTTCCAGGTTGTCCATTTTATTGGCATACAGTTGCTTGTAGTAATCTCTCATGATCCTTTGTATTTCTGCAGTGTTGTTACTTCTCCTTTTTCATTTCTAATTCTATTGAGTCTCCTCCCTTTTTTTCTTGATGAGTCTGGCTAATGGTTTATCAATTTTGTTTATCTTCTCAAAGAACCAGCTTTTAGTTTTATTGATATTTGCTATCCTTTCCTTCATTTCTTTTTCATTTATTTCTGATCTGATCTTTATGATTTCTAACTCAATTTTGTTTCTTTTTTTGGCTGAGTAATATTCCATTGTATATATGTGCCACATCTTCTTTATCCATTCACCTGTTGATGGACACTTAGGTTGCTTCCATGTCCTGGCTATTGTAAATAGAGCTGCAATGAACATTGTGGTACATGACTCTTTTTGAATTATGGTTTTCTCAGGGTATATGCCCAGTAGTGGGATTGCTGGGTCATATGGTAGCTCTATTTTTAGTTTTTTAAGGAACCTCCATACTGTTCTCCATAGTGGCTGTATCAATTTACATTCCCACCAACAGTGCAAGAGGGTTCCCTTTTCTCCACACCCTCTCCAGTATTTATTGTTTCTAGATTTTTTGATGATGGCCATTCTGACTGGCATGAGATGATATCTCATTGTAGTTTTGATTTGCATTTCTCTAATGATTAATGATGTTGAGCATTCTTTCATGTGTTTGTTGGCAATCTGTATATGTTCTTTGGAGAAATGTCTATTTAGGCCTTCTGCCCATTTTTGGATTGGATGGACCTAGAGTCTGTCATACAGAGTGAAGTAAGTCAGAAAGAGAAAAAGAAATACCATATGCTAACACATATATATGGAATCTAAGAAAAAAAAGAAAATGTCATGAAGAGTCTAGGGGTAGGACGGGAAAAAAGACACAGACCTACTAGAGCATGGACTTGAGGATATGGGAAGGGGGAAGGGTAAGCTGTGACAAAGTGAGAGAGTGGCATGGACATATATATACACTACCAAACGTAGGGTGGATAGCTAGTGGGAAGCAGCCGCATGGCACAGGGAGATCAGCTAGGTGGTTTGTAACCACCTAGAGGGGTGCAATAGGGAGGGTGGGAGGGAGGGAGATGCAAGAGGGAAGAGATATGGGAACAAATGTATATGTATAACTGATTCACTTTGTTGTAAAGCAGAAACTAATACAGCATTGTAAAGCAATTATACTCCAATAAAGATGTTAAAAAAAAAGAATCAACTGTTTCTAAATACAATGAACAATTGGAAACTGGAATTTTAAAAACAATATATAATAAAAAATTGAAATAAAAATAAATAAAACCACAAAATAACTGTTAACGATGAAAACTTATTATGCCAGGCCTTAGTATGGCCTGACTTGGAAATTTAGTTTCAGAGGCTTTTGTGAATATACCAAGGAAAGAGGACTTAGGTGTATCTTATTCCCACAGGCCACCAATAAATATTTGCTTAACGGAGAAAATATTAATATATAGTATAGGAGAGAATCTGACAGATGATTAAAATTATTGAGTGATAGCAATGCTCAAACTCATCTGTGATCAAACACTATGAAGCATCCTCCTAAGGAGTTTCAGCTCTGATATGCAAAAAGCTTGGAAGTTGTCGCTATATTTTGTCCTTACAAGATAATGCTGTACAAAATGAAAATAAATGACTTTTCTCAGACGTGATTAATAAAACATGTAACTATGAAAGAATTTTAAAACTGTAAAAAAATAAAAATAAAAAAACAACAACAGTGGAAGTTAACCAAGCCCAGCCTTCAACCCTTGCTACCCAATCAACAACGGTGATCATTCTGCAGCTGCAAACATCAAATCCCAATCATTTCTTTCCTCATCAAATGAGTTGATAGTCATCTAAGGGGCCCATAACAGGGCCTGCCTGGCATGTGGTGACTGCTGGCTTTATTTTGTTTTGTTTGGCCATTATTATACCATCATACGCTACACTCAACATTTCTCACTATTTAACAGCCTCTGGAATTATCCAGATTTTCAATGAACAGAATTACACCGTGAATGTGGAATGAAGAGATAAGCAAGTGGCATGACCCACAAAGTAAGAAAGATCTCTACAGCGATGGGAAAGTGAGAGTAAAATAGAACTATACATCCACAGAACTGTAGACAGAGATTCTCTCCACAGCCACGGATGCTCACTCAGGTGTCTTCAATTCTGTACTCGTCCAGGGAGACTTCCCCCGCCCCCCCACATACAAGTGGTCCTCAAATTTTAGCACAGATCAGAATCCCTTGGAGGGCTTGTTAAAAAAGAACACTAGCTCCACCCTCCAGAGTTTCTGAATTAGTAGGCTGGGGTAGAGCCAAAGAATTTGCATTTTCAACAAGTTTTCAGATGCTACTGATGCTACTGGTCTCAGGACTGTACTTTGGGAACCACTGCCCTTCAGGTGAACTTAGACCCTGGCATTTAAACATGCCTTTTGCTTGAATCAGGTCATGGGTCCAGCTTGTCAACATCAATCAAGGTCCTGTCATTCAGCGTGTTTGCTTTGCGGCATCCTCACATCTGAGAGGCATGCCCCCTTTGACAGGTCCTTGTACAGGTCACTGATGCAAATGTGGGCCAGGCTGGCTAAGGACAAAATCCAGGTCAGGTTAATTAACCCCCTAGCTTTTAGGCTCACGTCCATTCACTATAATTACAGCCATAGTTCTCAATCCTGATTAAACTTAAAAATCACAGGGGAAGCTTAAAAAACAACCAAAAAAAAAAAAAAAAAACTTAAAAAAAAAAACCTCTCCAGGTGATTCTAATGTGCAGCTAGGGCTGAGAACCACCATCTAGAGGTCTTACCGGTTTAACCTGTTAAATCAACCCAGATGAACTGTCCTGCCCATGTAACTTTATTTGTTATTGTGAGGGATGCTGTCAAAAGTTTTGCTGACATCAAGGTATGTTTTCCTACCCTTTCAAAACCATAAAATTCTATTGGCCTACAATGACATCGTTTTAGGGAATCGTACTAATTTTAAAGATCACCTTTTAAATATGTTTTACAGTCTGTTGAGGAATTTTGCCTGGGGTTGATTTCAAACTCACAGAATTGGATTCCTTTAGTTTATATAATCCCAGTGTAATGATAGCTAACATTTATTGCTTACTAACCTTGTCTCAGCCACAGTGCTCAGTGCTCTTCAAAAATATTCAAACAATCCTATGAAATAGCTTTTATTATTTCTATTTTACAGGCGCAGAATCAGGGTTGGCTTCTAGCTGACTCCAGGGCCCATGCTCATAACCACTAGTGTTGCTTCTGTTTATAATTGCCAGGCTCCATCTTGTTCTTCAAATGTTTTATGATGTCTTACAAGGATGTTAAAGATATGAGGAGGCATGAAAGAACTGGAATAAAGACAGACCACAAAAGCTCAAAATGAGTCATGGGTCAGAGCAAAATTCTTGCACATTTGCTAGCTGAAGGGTCACCGGGTCTGGCTTTGAGTGTTCTGGAAATGTCAAGTCAAAATAGGATCACATGTTCAATTGCACAAT